CCAGAGTGGTCCTGCTAGCAGCATGGTCCTTTTAGCAGCATGGTCCTTTTATTAAAGTGGTTCTGTTAACAGAGTGGTCCTGTTAGCAGAGTGGTCCTGTTAGCCATTTTTAGCTTGTTTATACAGTCTAAGCAACCCCTTCCAAAGGGAATGTTCCCATCTTCAATCAGTTCCAATCAACCAAACTCCATCATTCGGACGTCTGCATGTTCATTTCATGGCTATTTTGTGAGGAATGTTCTAATTTTCCTACAGGGGACTTCCCGGACTGTACCAAGAGCTCCAGGTAGCTGCAGCCGCTGCCACTTGTGATTGTCTTCAACCACCAGATTCTCTGTGATCAAGAGGCCTCTGCCCACAGGAAGTTGAACAGTGAATGTTTGTAGTTTTTGAGATGAGTGTTTTTCTGGACGGGATCTTGAAAAGGCAACCCGATTTTTGAAAGGAACGTTTCTTATGCCTAGATGCAGCCAAACACCAAAAAAGGAGCCCCTCACTTAGTTTTCAAGACATGTTCACAACATGGACAGGAATTTATGGTGGCATCCATCTTGGATTTGGACCAGCAACCCAATGTTTGTTCAGGAGACTTCCTCAGACCTAGATGCAGCCAAACACCCTAATAGAAGTTGTCACCTCATTTGGTTTTCAAGTTATCCTGCTCACAGCGTGCACGGGCTGAGGGATGGAGGGTATGTCCAACCCCCCCTCTTGGCTCCACGATGGGGGACGATATGCAGCGAAAAGTGACTTCAGAGTCATTTTATTACTAAAGGTAAGAGGTGGGAGCTTTTTTAAAACAGCAGGAACTCATTTTGGACCAGCTAGTTAATCCTGGTGAACTTAACTGTATTTTTCCAAACAGAAGTCGTTCAAAGAGCCATCTACAACAGGAATGATACTGATTGTTCATGCCTCTTCCACTGGACCCCCGTTAAAAATGGATGAAACATCACTTTAAAAGCCAGTCAGCAGCTGAACTGTTGAAGTTATTAGCAGAAAAAGAAAACAGATGGATTTCCCATCGCAAAAACTGACTTTGATTAATCTCATGAAGGATCATTTGGCAAACATCTGGAACTTCTTCTGCCGGTCTGTGGGTTTTTATGTGTTTGTGTAAATGTTTTTCCCCGTCTGTGCGGTTGTGTGCGGGGCTGTTCGTAAGGAGGTTCCTATCAAAACATCAGACTAAGGTCCAGTCAGGGTTAAAGCCCGAGACTCAAGCGGACAAACAAATGTCTGACGGTCGGTCAGGAGATGAAGAGGAAGAGGAGGAAGGAGACAACATGTTTTTCATGTCTTTGGATCATTTGGGGAGGACTGTG